GTTCAGGCTGGCCTTGAGCTCACTTTGTAGCCCAGGCTGGCCTGGAACTCACAACGATCCTCCTGCCTCAGCCTCCCAAGTGCTGGGATTACAGGTGTGCTCCACCACACCCGAGCCCCAGCCCTTCTTTCCTCCACCTTTGTAGAGGTAGGAGTTGCTTGAACCTGAAGGTTAGCCTTCCCTCAGGCGAGAGCATGGTGGGATGAGGAAGGGGGAGGTGTCTGGTACCTTCCCTCCGTGGCTGCAGGAAAAGGGTTCTGGTTCTGAGGAGCATCATCAGGGCTGTCCCCTGAAAGAGAATCCAGAGTGAAGAGAAACCTCCAGGGCCCCCAGCCCAAGACTCTTTACACCAGCCTCAGCAGCAACTGTTTCTGTAAAAACTACAACTCCCATCAGCCCCAGAGCAGCAGCTAGTAGAGGAACAAATATCCCAGGGCCTATTGGGATTGTAGTTCTTCAGGTTTTAAGTCATTCTGCCTCTATCCTTCAAAGCCCAGAGGTCCCTCAACATCCCCCAACACACACACACACACACACACACACACACACACACACACACACACGTCTGTACCTTGTTGGATTCCATCTTCAGAAGGCAAATCAAGATCTGGCTGTGGGGGTTCCCCAGAAACAATAGCATCCTGTCTGACCCTAGTTGGCTTGGGGGGTTTGAGGGGTGGCAGAAGTTTGCGCTCAGCAGTGGAACGATAGGACGTGAGGACGACCGCAGGGTGACTGATGCTTGAGGCGTTGGGACGTGAGCGGGAGGTGCGTAGTGGGGAGGCCCTGCTGGGGGCTCTGGGGCCATCCTCAGAGCTGCCCACAGGCATCCATCGGAGCTCCAGACCAGGCTGGCCGATGTGACAGACACAAGGGCAGCAAGGAGGGCAGGCCAGGACAGCATCTGTGGTACACAGGGCACCCTAAGGAGAAAGGCCTTGGCCTGCCCACCCTGCCAGGCCTCCTCCCGTCATCTACAGAACCCTTCTGCCCTGACTGTCTTCAAACCCCCAGAAATACAGAAATTGGGTTTTCTAACCACAAAATTCATGTTTGAAAAACTAACCCCTGGAAGTTCCCAGTCTGCAAGCACTGAAAACAAAGCTGAGCTCGCTGAGGCCGCCCCGGCCCCACCATGCACTTACCCGGAGCACCATTCTCCTGGGACAGGTTCCCAGCAGCATCCTTTCTCTCCCCATTCACATCCGCTCCCCCTGGGGGACCCCGCTCCAGGGAGCCTGCAACCTGGGCTCCGTCTTCAGCCCCCCATTCAAACCTGCCTGCCAGTCTCCGCACCGTGCCAGGGGCCGAGGCAGGACCACCCTGCTTCGGGGCCCCAACCACGGGGAGCAGGGGCAGAGGTGTGCAAGGTGACCCAGAGGGCTTGGGTGGGGGGGTGGGAGAACAGACAGCAGGTTCTGGGGAGCCAGAGCGCCTGGACATTGGACTGGGGGTGCTGGGACGGGAGCCTGGGGAAGGCTGGGAGTCGAGGCTGGTTTTAGAAGCCGTTGGAGGCAGAAGGGCAGGAGGCCTGAGGGATGCGGCTGGGGGCTCCCAGAAAATGGGGGTGCACACTGGAGCTGGTGCATCACTGGCGGTGCGGGGAAGTGCCAGGGGAGAAGAGCCGTTGTGAGAAGGCCCTGGGGAGTGGGGGCCCCGTGGGCGGGAAGGAGGCCGAGGGCGGATGATCCGAGAAGGCTTCTGGGCAGGGGGCGTTGCTGCAGGAAGGGACTGGGCTGACATCTTCCTCTGAACTCTTCAAAAGGGTGGTGCGTTCTGCTGGAGTCATCCCCTGAGAGGGGTGGAGGGAGAGAGAGCCCCTTAGTGTCCCCAGTGGGTAGGCTGAGGACATCTGACCGCGTGACTTTGGAGTTGGGAGGGAAGGCTGGTGTCATCCCCACCTTGCATCTCATTTGCACTGTGCCACTCCTCCCCACCTCTCACCTCTCGCCTTTCCTTCTATTCTGCCCTGGACCTTCGTGGCCCTTCCACCGTTAACTTTCTGTGTGTGTGTGTGTGTGTGTGTGTGTGTGTGTGTGTGTGTGTGTGTATGTTGCTAGAGATGGAAACCAGGGGTACTCTACCACTGACCATATCCCCAGCCTTTTTTATTGTGAGACAAGTTCTTCCTAAATTGCCTTGGCTGGGTCCAAACTCAAGATCCGCCTGCCTCAGCCTCCCAAGTAGCTGGGATGGCAGGTGTGTGCCACCACACCCAGCATCACTCTGTCTTTTGACTTCTGCTGCCACAGTCAAGCCAGAGGAGATAAGGCAGGGAAGCTGAGTCAGTGGAGGCAGAAGCACCAGAGAATCAGTGAAATGTAGGAAGAGAGATTCAGTTCGCCTGTATGGGCACAGCGCAGACCTTAAGAACTGTGAGTCCCTGTGTGTGGCGGAGGTTGGCGTGGGTGAAGTGTGTGCTGGCACCAGCGCGGTACCAGTGGGGGTTGCGTGGTGTGTGGCGAGTGTACACTCTGCGTGCTGACTGGGTAAGTGTGCTGCGGGGAGTGGGTGGACAGTGTGTGGGGGCCCTACAGGAGTGTGTGATGTGAGTGTGGGGGCAGGAGTATAAGGGTGTGCGTGAGTTCTGTGCCACCTGGATGGCGTGTGTGAGGTGTGTACACACACGTGGTACACACGCCATGCATGGGCCGTGAGGGATGCATCACTCTTTCCCGGCTCCCACCAGCCCCCGCCCCCCATTTCCCAGTTCCTCTCCCTGGACTCTCCCTTTCCGGATTATTTTTAGCCTCCTTTTCCTGCCGTTGAGATTCCTGGAGCCTCTGACCCCAAGAGACTTCGAGGCCACAGTAGAGGGTCTTCTGTCCCCCACCCTTTCATGCCGACCTCGCCCCAAGTCTGGACAAAGAGAGAGGCCCCAGAGGAGGGCCGGGCCCTGCCAGGATGTCCAGGGGCTGGCCAGAGACCAGGACACAGGCTAGCACCAACAGGACCAGAACCTGGGCCTGGGTTTCTCTTCCTCTCGTAAGGAGAGAGGCTGCTGTCTGGATAAGACTGGGAGTCCCCCAGCTCCCTTCAGGAGCCAGCAAAAGCCACAGCCCTCCAGACCCCAGACAGGTTCTTGAAAAATCATGTGGGGTGGGGGAGGGGCTGCAGCCGGTGAGACCTGCAGCTCAGTGGCCTCTGCGTTCTGGCAGGAAGCCACTTAGCGAGGTGATCCTCGCAGCGGCCTCAACAGCTGGCCAGCTCCTCCTCAGACCCTACCCCATAGGGGTCCCAGCACCCCCTCCCTTCAGGTACCTGTGTTTACTTCCTCCCCCACCCCCCACGCAGGCCTCTGGCAGGGCCCAGGTAGTGGGGCCCCAGGCACTCACCCTTGAGTTCCCTCCACTCTCAGTCACCTCCCAGGGCTGAGTGAGTAGGGGCAGGAAACAGGAATCGGATCCTCTTCCCAACCGGACACCCCCCCACACAACCACACCACACTCCACATGCGCACACTGGGGCCCTGGGAGATGAGAGGGACCTGATATCCAGGGTGTCAGAGGCAAATGGGTCCAGAGAGGGCTGCTCTGCATGTACGCATTCCCTCAGCATCCCTGGGCCAGGGGCTGCATGGGCTGCCTGGGTGGGGGTGGGGTAGATGGGGTGGGATGGCAGAGCTGTGCCGGCAGGACAGCGTGGGTGCCTCTCCATCCCTCTGCCTCAGCTATGGGAGAGTGTGTACGGCCTTCTGTGACCTGTCCAGCCATCTCTCCCTGATTGGCGGTAGCCTGTCTCTTTAGCTGCCAAGCTGCCCCCTGGGTGTGAGCCAGCCAACATTTCACTTCAGAGGACCCCCAACTCTGCCTCCTCCCTGGCATTGCAGTGACTCCCCGTGAACTTACCTTTATCTTTTTTGGAAGCCGTTTCTGTTTTCAGCCTGTCCTACCTGCCCCTTGGAGCAAGGAATGCAGACCTAAGTCTCCAATCCTCCGTTCCTGTGTTCCTGGGGCGGGAACCCAGGGCCCAGGGCCCAGATTGCAATCTCCACAGAGGAAGCCCTTTCCTCGGCCACTCCCGGCCATTGTGTCTATGTGTGTGTGTGTGTGTATGTGTGTGTGTGTGTGTGTGTGTGTGTGTGTGTGTGTGTGTAAGAGAGAGAGGACAAGGGCCAGAAGGTGGGGAGGGGCAGCGGAGATCTGTCTCCTCCAAGTGGGTGTGACATTTCCTGGCACCCCAGCCACTCACCTTTCTTTGGTCCTTGTTTCTCCTGGGTCCCAGTACTTCACTACCTATCACACCAGGAGTCAGTGCCTCTGTGGAGGGGGAGCAGGGCCCCTCTCACCTTTCATTTGTTTTGCAGTTGAAAAGCTGGGTTCCCAGGGATGGAAATGTGTCATAAAAACAACCAAGAGGGTAGAATGAGCCACGCCCCAGCCTGGACAGCACGGTCGTGGGAGAAAAGGCAAATGCCAGTGGTGAGCCGCCGGGCACAGTGGTGCAGCCTGTAATCCCAGCACTCGGGAAGCTGAGGCAGGAGGATCACTGCAAGTTTGAGGCCATCCTGGGGTACATAATGAGTTCAAGGCCAGCCTGAACTGCATAGCGAGAACTTGTCTCAAAAGAAAAAAAAAAACAAAACAAACAGCCTGTGGTGAGCTGTGGAGGTCTTTACCCATAACCCAGCACCTGCTCTCTGTCTATCTCTCTCTGTCTCTGTCTCTGTTTCTTTATTTCTGTGTCTGTCTCTGTCTGTCTGTCTGTCTCTCTCTCTCTCTTTCAGCAGAAACAAGACACTGGGAAGAAAATCCTGAAATTTCCCATGAAAATATTTTAACTTGCTGGGTATGGTGGCACATACTTGTATTTCTAGCACTTGGAAGGCTGAGGCAGGAGGATCACTGCAAGTTCAAAAGCAGCTTGGGCTACAAAGTGACCTCAAGGCCAGCCTGTAATGCATAATGAGACCCTGTCTCAAACAGGCCCAAAAAAAAGTTAACTCTATTTTTCTCAAAGTAAAAGGCTAAAAGCCTTTCTAATCCTCACCGGGGGCCCATCCTATCTACCTTCCTCCCCAGCTTCTCCTCTTAGCTACACTCCACTTCAAGGCCTTTGCACTACCTATGCCCTCTGCTTGCAAAGCTTCTTCCCAGAACATCCTTTATAGCAAGTAAACCCTATACATCCATATATATGTTAAGAGTGAATCATTGTCTTAGTTATTTTTCTCATTGCTGAGACAAAATACCTGACGCCCAAAGTTAAGGGAGGAAAGGTTTGTTTGGTTCACAATTTTTAAAGGTCTCAGTCCATAGTTGGCTGGATTGAAGGCAGGTTGGAATGGCAAAGGGATGTCACAAAGAAGAAAGAGTTCATGATGGGCAGAAGGTAGCAAAGCAAGCAAGGTGCCTCCAAAGCTTTTTTCTGCCCCTTTTGTACTCTATCGAGGCTACTGGGATTAGGGTGGTACAAAACCAATCAGTGGACTGATTTAGTATTCACCCCCCCCTTAATCCTAGTATCACAAACTCTAGACCCACCCACCTCTGAAAAAGCCCCACCCATGACCAAATGAAGCTTTGGAGACATCTAGACACAAGCCATAACAATCATCAGAGGGGCTGGGGATTTAGCTCAGTGGCACAGTGCCTACCTGGCAAGCACAAGGTCATGAGTTCAATTCCCGGTACTGGAAAAAAAAAGAAAACATAACAATCATCAAAAGGTTTCTATTTTTCCATATTCCAGAGTTGCCATCTTAGTTTCACATTAGAAAGTAAGCATCTTGGGCTGGGGATTAGCTCAGCAGCACAAGCGCCTGCCAGGCAAGTGCAAGGTCGTGAGTTTCATTCCTGGTACCAAAAAAAACAAAAAACAAAAAACAAAAAAAAAGCAGAAAGTAAGCATCCTGAAAGTAAGATATTTATCTGTGCTGTATCTGTTCACCGTTGTATCCCAAAGTTGTAGAACCAAGTTAGAGGGCTGGGGATATAGCTCAGCAGCACAAGCACCTGCCAGGCAAGCTCAAGGTCCTGAGTTCGATTCCCAGTGCCAATAACAACCAAAAAAATGACCATAGATAGAACTGGGTTAGGTATATAAAAGATGCTCAATAGAAACTGAGGACTTGGGGCTGGGGATTTAGCTCAGCGGCATAGCGCCTGCCTGGCAAGCGCAAGGTCATCAATTGGATTCCCGGTACTGGAAGAAAAAAAAAACTGAGGATTTTTCCTCAGTACTGGAGTATGTGCTTTGCATAGTTGAAGTCTTGGATCAATCCCCAGCATGACAAGAGAAGGAAAGGAAATGAAAAGAAAGGAAAGGGGAGAGGGGAAAAAAAGGTGCTTATTATTTGATGAATTGAACCAAACAGAACCCTTCCCACAGCCAATGACTACGCTTGCCCTCCTTTCCTATAGACTATTTCTGTAACCGTGATGATCCCACCAGTTTCCCATCACACATGCCCCAAGACCAAGGAGCCAACCTCGATATCAGAATCCTCACCTCTGGATTTTTTGGGTGACCACAGAGAAAAAAATCTTCTGTCCAAGAGCCTCAGAGACCCTACTAGCTATTAAGAAAACTAGACATACATGAACAGCCAAGCAAATCCTGTTTTGTCTTGTTTTCACTGAAACAAGAGTGCCTTTATTAATTTTACTAGTTATAAAAACAGCATTAGGGCTGGCATGTAATTCAGTGGTACAGTACTTGCCTAGCATATAAATCTCAGAACTGCAAAACCAAACAAACCAAGAGTGAGGAGGATACACAGACAGGCAAGACAGCCCCTGGACCTTCACCTGTCTAGTCTGAGTTTATCTTTTTTCCCCTCCCGCTAGCATCACCCCCAGGCAGACCCATTTAGAGGCTTTTCAACCACTTATCTGTTGGTTTGAAACTCCCCATGGTCACAGGAGGTAACTGAAGTTCCCTGGAGCTACCCCAAAAATCTTATAATATTCCTATAGAAGCAGTTCCACTGGGCTTATTGCTCAAGGCAACTGCAAAGGTGAAAATAATGACTTTTCAGATGCATTAAAATCATTGTTTAAGGGGCTGGGTATTTAACTCAGCGGCACAGCACCTGCCTGGCAAGCGCGAGGTCGTGAGTTCGATTCCCAGTATCGGGAAAAAAAAAAAAAAAAAAATCATTGTTTAGCCAGGCATGGTGGCGCACACCTGTAATCCCAGCACTCAGGAGGCTGAGGCAGGAGGATCGCTGCAAGTTTGAGGCTAGCCTGGGTTACAAAATGAATTCAATGACAGCCTGAACTGCATAGTGATACCCTGCCTCAAAAAGACAAAACAAAAAAACCACTATCTATTTTCACCCCAACTCATTCCAAAAGGACACTGACCTCCGAAAATATCATGTGATATCCACCAGGGTTTTTGCCTATTTTATTTTTTGTATAAATCTTTTGCAAATATAATTTTTGGTGTAACAATCCATTCTCCTACGACTTCACAAAGCAAAAGGTTTCTATATTTCCATATTCCAAAGTTGCCATCTTAGTTTCAAATCTGCATTCTACTTTCTCAGCATTGCTTTATATCCATTTTTCATAGTGCTATATGGTTTCTGAAACTGTCCCTTTTCCTGGAATATAACATTACATGGGTCAGATTTTGCCATCCTAGCAATAGCTGTTCTGATCTTCTAAGACACTTGCTATCCCCCGCCCCAAACAGATATGACTCTGGTCATCTGCCTCAGAACTGGTCAATCACAGTACAGTGAATCCCTGGCTTACGAATAAGCTCCGTCCCAGGAGAACTGTTCATAAGTCCAACTTGCTCATAAACCGACAGAGTGAGTCTTACACAGTACACCCATGAAAGTTCCTGACTTGAATGTTCATAAGCGAAGGACGTAGTGTATTCCGTTCCTCTGGCCCCACAAACTGACCAGGAAGAAGCGAGTCAGGACAGCCTCCAGGGAAAAGAGAAGTTTCTGGGCCTCTGGAAAAGAGAAACTTTCCTCCAGGTCCACAAGGCAGGAACACTGTGAGTAAATGCACTCGTAAATCTGGAGCTGTTTGTTCTTTGCTTCCTGTCCCCATAAGAGGAGAAAAATACTGTACTCAACAGAGAAAAAAATGAGCTACAGAGAAGCAGAGCCAAGGATGGAGGGGCCCTTGCACTTCCCAGATTCTTAGAACACTACGTTGCCTGCTGTGCTCTAACCAGTTTGAGCTGAATGTCTGTCAGTTACTACTGAAAGAACTCTCACCATTATGTTCCATCCCCTAGCAGCTGACATGAGTAACCGGGTGCTGCGAGAGCTGAGGGGCTGCTGGTGCTCAAAGCCCAGGGCTGCTAACAGAGCTGCACTTTGGTGATTTGTGATTTCCATCTGAATTGAGCAACAGAACCCTCAGCAGCTTGACAACAAGGGTGCTGGGGATTAAACCAGGGCATCACATGTGCTAGGCAAGCACTTTATCACTGAGCTACAACCCCAGCCCTTTAACATAGCAATAAATAACCCAAAGGTGGGGTTCCACTGGGCATGCCAAACTGGTACAACACAGGCCTGGAGCTGCTGGTGACCATCAGCAAGGCAACCTAAGAATAAAACCAATAGAGGGGAAAGATGGAGAGACGCAGCTTCAAGTGCTGGATCCTTCAGTCTGAAGGCAGTTCTGTGTCTGGAGTTTTCTGTTATGAAGTCAAGGAGCCCCCTTCTTGTAAGCTTGTGTTGAGCTGCTGTCACAACACCAACAAAACACCCCTTACAAGGAAGTCCATGATGAAGGAAACGTTGAGTCCAACTGGCCTCTGGTAGGGCCAGGACCTTGAGATCCAGCAGAGTTCCTCCTGGATCACAGAGCACTAGGCAGCTAAGGAAGGGATGGCAAGAAAAAGCTGCCTGCTCTGGGATTGCACAGATTCTGACACCTGAACAAAAACAGGATGCTGTAGAAGGCCACCAGATGGAGTCTGAGTACTGCAGGTGCAGTTCTGGCAGCCAAAATGGACCCATCAGCGTCTACACCACCCAGGCAGAGGCGTGAAAGACACACCCCGGTGCCCTCCCTCTCTGTGGTACTTGCTTCTCCCAGAGGATTGAGGTCCTTTATGTTTCCCACAAC